TATAATAAAAATTCCAATTTGATCAATAAAAGTTTTTGTGTGAATGCTTTTATTTTTTTGACAACAAGCCAAGCATATGATTCGCAAAGTAACCCGAAATTATTATCAAATAATGTATAATAATAAGTTATATTATTTCATATATATTTTCTTAAATGTTCATATTTTATTTGAAATATTACTTTGGTATTGTGTTTTATTTATTTTAGTTTAATATACAAATAATACGAGCCTTACGAAAAGACAAATCCATTTATGCCAGTAGCCGAATACAGTAATATGTCACCATTTTGAATTTATAAGTACTCAACTTATCACATGAAGCTGATCTTAAATTGAATTACATATTCAAGGAAAGGCATTAGATAAGCAATATTATTCTTCAATTTACCGTAAGCCTACGCATTATATTTTAAGGTGAATTTCCGCTGAAATATGAATGCTCCGATTTATGGTTTCGTCTCTTATTTCATGAACATATTAAATTGAAAGACTTCACTCAAGCACGAAATTGCAAACTTAACTTAATTGCCAAGGACTTGAGCCCCAGAAAATGAGCACCCTTTCAACTCGCAAATGAAGCATATGGGCTCAAATGGATTATTTACCTAATTGTTAGAGCACATGATGCAAGCACATTAATTAGGCAGCAGAAACTGGGTAATTACGGCCATTAAACGCCGGAAGTAGCAGAACATTAGGTGTGTGTGATTAAATTTTTCATGATTTTTCTCCTAATTTACCGTCCTTAAGTGTAGCGAACGCTTTTGTTGACGCAGCTCGTACCCAGTTGCGTTCGATGTACAGAGCAAACTTTTGAGGAATTGCGAAATATAACAATTTAAAGTGAATTAACTTTATGATTTTTGCGGTCAGTTTACACTGGCAAATATTTATCTGATGTCATGCGCAACATGAAATACGCAACAGCATACTTCCACATTGCATATCCCAAGCGAACTCAATCCTTTGAAGGTTTTCATATCTAAATGCTTGGCAGAACATAATCGTAGCTCTTTAGATCATATCTTACTTGAGAATGTCATGGACGGGAATCATGGCGAAGACAAAATCAAAGACTCCAGACATGGTGATGCGCCATTACATTCTGTTTATGTGGTAGGTTCGTGCCCGCAATTTGTGGCAGCAGACATCCCGAGTTCATTTCGTATCAGAATTGGTGATGTTCTATTGTAGGTGCGTGGGAGTTAAATTCTTTTAAAATAACGTCTGCTAGTGCTCCCTCCTCACACTTTGCGTACGAAAAAGTTTTAAATTTCCAAGGAAATCACAACTTTCCCATTTTTTTGAATTCTTTTATTGCTCTTTTTATGAGTTCGGCAAAGAAAACAATTTTTTGTGATTTTTAAGAAAAAGGAAACAATGACAAAACAATATAAAGTTATTCTCTGCAATGCGGACTTAGAAATGGAGTGAAAAGTTTACAGTTTTATTTGAAGTTCGCCTTTCTGCATTTGAAATACAAATTCCTTACATTCACCTTAATTCGCAAATAATTGTTTATATGATATTAAAGTAAATAATACCCACAACTTTAACTGTTTCACGCTTTATAGATGTTTTGTTTGCACTTAAGCAGTGAGTGTGAAAAGTGAAGCGGATGCCTTAGGACGAAACTCCTTTTTCGGTTTTACGACAAATGCTCTAGAAAGCAACCATTAAAATGATTAGCTCATTTTATTTTTAAAATTAGTTTTAATAGCAAGTTTTTGATTGGCCCTTTTCAAATATTTGTGAACATTTCTGATTTTTTCAGAAGACACATACATCATTGGAATTAAGTTCGAATCAGATGAAGTTTACGAGAACTCGCGCCAGTAAATAGATTATTTTTATTAGTCTAGTAAACCCTAGAATAGTAGTTTACTAGGATTGGCTAATTCAAATGTTGACGTAAAAGCACAGTTAAAGAAAATTCTGATAGTCAACATTTTCCGGACCGAGAAAAAAACAAAATAGTGCAGCATGAAAATTTTAAATGAGAATTTAGGTACATGAAAGGCACGAGCACTTAATACCCTTATTCCTACATTCTCCATATTAATCATATCCGGCTGTCGCAGAAAAAATTTTAGTTCCCATGGTTAGGGAAAAAATTTCGTCAAACGAAGATATCGCACGATGCACTGTTTGAATGGTTTAAACAAGTGAAGACATCACTACGACAAGTGTGGTCAGGAATTAAGTATTATATTGCAAATACAGCTAAAAATGATTTCATTCATAAAAAAAATCCGAAATAGCAATAGCTGATATATCTAAGTGTTAAGAGCTACAAGTCCACAAACTCCCTAATATGTTTTGAAATGTCGAAAATGTGTGGAAATGACACTAAAGAGGGCTTGAAATTGTTTTTGTTCATAGGACGAGAGACTCGACTAATTATAATGTATGAAAATATAGTTACTTATGTAATAATTTATAAAATAACGATTTTATTTCAATAGGTCTGCTGTCTTCATTTCGTATATTAAGAAGAAGTTACAATCTGTGCGATTTTACATTATGCGCATCTATTGATAATATGGCATCATCAAATTAATTAAATTTAATATGAGCTATTTATTTCGCGTAGATTTGATTTGAACTTATTATTGCTACGATCTAGTGGCTACTATATAATTTTAAATTAAGACATGTTTTGTTAGTTTCGATTATAATCGGATAGTATTTCGCAAGCAAGACACCCAAAGAAACTTTAAAGTGGATCAACTTTTTCTGTTTACATTTGTTTGCGTAACCCCCCGTTTTCTATGTCACGCAAAGTAATTCCTGCAACTATTTGATTGGTGTGCCCACATTCAGAATTAAACAGAGAAACGCAAAAACGCATTTGAACCAACTGCGACCAACTGTGATTAAAACAATGGATTTAGTGTTTGCAAACGCAGTAATTACTTGAAAATAAATTTGCTGAATCCAACTTAAGTTTTTCGCAATAGATAACGTTACATTTCTGGAGTTGTAGCACTAAGGACAGCCTCGTCGTTGGAGAGCTGAATGGAAACTAAAACATCTTTATTAAGATAACTTATTTTACATATTCATAACATAACACTTATACTACGGTCGTGTGCGAGTTCGAGGAAATTGAAGGTAAATTGAGGAAAATTGAAGACATTTTCTTTCCTTTACGATGTGGATATGTATTCTGCCATTACTTAACTTGAACCATAATGCTATAATATAGGTATTAAATACCTTATATACGATAAGACTAATTATTAGAGAACAGAATGAGATATCAAACATTTTTATTCTTTAGAAAGTTTTCAGGTCCGTTGCATGTTAGGAATTTTTTTTCATAAGACAAAAGACTGTTTATATATAAAATATTAGTTTTTGTACATCCAGTTCCGTTGTACTTTGGTTTATCAATGTACGGTCTCAGTTGGTGTCGTAATTTACAACGAATTTTAATTCAACACTCCATCATATTATCTCTATTCTCTGAGTTGCTGATACATATTTTTTGAATTCAGATCATATATAATATTTTGAAACATATATTAAAAAGCAAATTGATGCAAGGAGGAATAATTAGAATCTTTTTAAGGTGATTATTACAATTACTGACCTTAACAATATTGCAGCTTTTCATTAGAAAGTTGAAATCACATGTTGAACCTAGTAGATCCTTGGAGCTGAATGGCTTAGTGGGAATCGAAGCTTCAGGGTATATTGAATTCGTGGATTATAAACTCTTTTATTAAGTGTTTGGTTCAATTGGATCCAATTGGCCCATGATGAATTGGTCACGAATAGAGTCCAAGAATAATATTAGGGACAAGAAACAGAGTGACAAGCTTGCGAACTTAGGGGTAGTTAATATTATCGTATTAAGAAAAATAAAAATGATTTGTTTTATTTAACTAAGCTTAGATACTGGTATATTTGTAGCCTAGTATGTATGTTTGGCTTGGTAGATGCAATAGAAAATGAGTAAAAATAGTTGTGCTTCTGCTTATGTGTGAATTGCATACCCCACCTCTGCAGCTGTTACAATTCGCCCGTGAGCGAGGCTTGACTATCATTTTTGATAGTTTTGGTGAGCACATCATTCAGCTTCTCGGCAACACGTTGTGAATGATAGTCTGTCACCCAAAAACTTGCATTCGTCATTCAAGAGCATATTTTTGCATGATTGCACTAACACAGTTACACCATGCGAAACACACTAATAGCGTGCGTAAACAACCTTATTCTTCACGAATTTTGCTTGAATGACAACTCTTGCGTTCAAGTTTGGTCGCAAGAGTTGTGAATTATGTATGTTAATATTTGAAGAAAGCATCGTTTCATTGCGCTTATGATTCTATTTTGTAGTACACTTGTAGTATTTTCTGCTGAGGAGTGTTCATAACAATGTCGGCAGTGACTGAAGCGACATCGCACCAAGAATGATATATTATACTCACTTTATATAAATAAAACAGCGTTATTTTTATTAACTGTATAACCCTTTTTAGTTGTTGCTGCGGCACATGTTTGTTGTGTCAAACTATTTTACAACCTCTTCAGAGTGTCTCGGGCACGGGATAAGTACAATTGTTGTTGTTTTCAATGCAAATTTTAAATTTGACAATGAGAGAAAAAACAGTATGGCCGTCCAAACTCCGGCATGAGAGCCGGCGTATGTGGGCACTACGGCAAAACAGTGTTGTTTAGTAGAAGAGAGAATCTTGCTGTGCTCGAGACACTTTGCATAATATGGCCCTAAGAAGAATAGAGAAACTCTTTTACGTTTTAACTAAAAATAAGTGGTTTCTTTTTTAAGTTCATTCGCTTATGATATTGCAACATGAAGGTGCATTCTAGTATAACGTAATGAATGTTTTTGTTATCTTAGATCCTCTTTACCTTAGGTAATACTGTCACAAATTCATTTACTCCACACACTAATGTCACACTTCACATTTTTGCTATGGGTGTTGGTTTTAGTGGCAGATAAGCATCCTTTCCTTTTCAAATAATTCATATGCGGTTCACGTCCATATTTTTGTAGAATCCCTAGGGTGCCCACCATCGAGTAGAATGGAATTTTCGAAGTCCGTTGTAGTTTTTTATTTATGTATTGTTTCTCTTAAAAAGATGATAATGGAAACATTTTTAAGCAACTTTTAATGGGATCAGCATTCATTTCTCTACTGCAAACTAATTGACACGCACTTTTATTTCCTTGTATTTCTCGATGTTCTGGAGCTCAGATCAATGACATTTATGTTTAATTCCCAACAAAAGTATTAAATGATTATTTCAATTTTGTTTCTAATTGATTCAAAATTATTTTACTATTTCACACACTAAAGATTTGTTGCATATTATCTTTCTCTTTCTAGAGTAGTTCAATCTAAGCACAGCTTCAGTAAAAGTCCATACGCCTTCAAATTAATTGAATGCTTCTTTTACGATTATTTCAGGTTATATCGAATTGAAGAGGAATAGAAGAAATTCGTATAAAAGTTAAAGTTACATTTAATGTTGGAAGTCAATTACTAATTAAAAATAACACCAATCGAAACACGAATCCTTTATTGGGACTGTAATAAAAATTTTTCCTTTTCTCCTAAACTTATTACGTTCCTGAAAGAATACGCAGTTTTGTGTTCAGTTTGGCAAAAAGATAGATTTGACAAGTCATTCCTTAGTTGCAAAAAAATGAATATTAAAAAAAGACGATAGTAATCTGAACGAGTAAGTTTAATGAAAGGCTGAACATATTTTATATATTCAATATTAAGCCAATCCTTTTCATTTGAATAACTTTCGCTTGACAAAGGTTCCCCTGTATTGTGCAAGGCACCTCATTGCTTACATAAACCTAGTAAATTCCCTTATATCGGTTAACGTTTCTAAGCAGCTTACAATAATCCTTCTGTAAATAGGAACATTACTCACATTTTACCTACATCAAAGTTTGTGCCTTTGTCATGGCTGCTGCTGCTGAGATGCTGCATCTATTGTCGTTGTCTTTATTGGCAGTTGATACATTACCACAGAAAACAAGTAAAGCATTGCACACATCTGCTATCGACAGTATATACAAATCAAATTGACGCTGAGGTATTTGCCGGCAGCAAACGTCTGCACATCGACCA